GGGGACTCAGTGGTAACTGAAAAAAATGAAGATTAAATCTAAATAAATAAAATATTGTAAACAACAACAACAACAACCCTGAAATGGCTTATGCAAATAAAGCTGTAACTTATAAACTAAAGCTGTAACTTACAAACGATTACCCTTGGCTTTAATACCTAAGTTTTTCTGTAGGTGGAGTATATGTTACAGCTAAGATTCTGCTAATACTAATTTATCAAGAAACATAGTCTAGTTGATTGAAAGAATAAAAAATCAGATATTTCAAAATGTATATTAAAGTGTGGTATAAGCGATCAAAATAGCAATAATCTATTAGCTATGAGGAAACAGAAGCAGCTCTTTTTTGAGAAAATTAGGAAATCATAAATGAATGTCCTTTAATAAGGGGATCAGCTTATAATTAAGAGAAAAACAGGAAGAAAATCATTTGCACGTTTAGAGCCTGAGTTGTAAATTTCTCTGTGTACTGATGAGGAAACAATGTATGACCTAGGGAATGAATCAATTTTTTATAATTGTTTTCAATAAACATTTTGAGTATACATTTATACTAAGATGACTATATTAGTTTGCTAGGGCCATAAAAAGTACCACAGACTGGATGACTTGAGCAACAGAAATTTATTTTCTCATAATTCTGAAGTGTGGAATTCCAGATCAAAGAGTCGTAGGGATGGTTTCTTCTGAAATCTCTCTTCCTCCACGTACACATGGCCTCCGCCCTGGGTCCTCATATGGCCCTTTCTCTGTGCATGTTCTTACCTAGTGTCTCAGTGGGTCCAAATGTCCTCTTTGTAAGGGCACCAGTCAGGTTGAATTAGGACCCACCCTCAAGGACTCCTTTTAACTTAATCACCTCTGGAAAAATCCTGTTTCCAAATATGTTTGTCACATTTGATATACTGGGGGTTAAGTGCTTCAACATACGGATTTTGAGAGTGTAAGTTTCAGCCTAAAACAGTTATATACATGTTCTGCACTTTGTACATATATCCCCCTGAACATTGTTTAGAGATTGGATAAAAATAAGGAGCGAGTTATCATATATGCTTCCCTGTCCCAGTGGACTGTCTGCTGGATTTTATACACACCACTTGGGAAGACTAAAGTAATAAAAAAGAGTGTCAGCTAACTAATTAATTCACCTGAAGTCAAAGTCCGAGATTGCCTGTAACTTAACTACGCTTTGTTCTGTTATTTTTGATGGCAGGTTTTTCTTGTGTTTTTCTGCCATCCTAATGTTCTCTTAATGTCAGATGTTTAACTACAAGGCCTGTCTTTATATTTTGACACATACCCCTCTATATGAGCATGAAGGTTTCTGAGAGATGTTCTATGTAAATATGAAAATTCACAAAACAGTATAGGAGATAGCCTATAAAGTACACTTACTCTGAAACATTTCTTAGATCAATTGGCTTCACAATAAAATTGCTTAGATATGTAGAAATTATTTTCCGGTTTTAGCAGTAAGTTCTTACATGCTTTCTTCTAGGCAGTGGATGTGCTTTGTAGTTTGAGCATATTCAGAGTGCTGAGTGGTATTTTAATTAAGTCAACTGTAGTATGCTGATATTTTGAGGGGATACATTATATACACATATATAAATATCTATGCACACACAGCAAGAGCAAACTCCTCTATCATTTTCATAGTTACTGCAGGGAAGTATTCAGACTACCATCTTCTGATGGTGAGTAAACAGCAAATATAAGAACCTAAAAGAATAAGGTAGGTTAATCTTTTTGCTCCTCAGCAGAAAGAAACCATTCTTGCTGAGACTGTGCCAATGGCCATATCACTGCTAAGCTGTTTCTTTGCACCCTCATCAGGAAGTTATCCAAGATATCCTGGATGACTGTCTTCCTGTGGGTGTAATCATTATCCAGGTTAATTAATTTGACTATCGGCTTTGGAAGTAAAAAGGGATGAGTAATAATTTTTGCAAAAAGATGCTTCACTCACTAACATTATAGTGAAAAAAATATTCCGCCCTGAGTGGTGTGGTTCAGTGGATTGAGTGCCAGTCTGTGAAAGGGTTGCTGGTTCAATTCACAGTCAGGGCACACGCCTGGGTTGCAGGCTAGGTCCCCAGGTGCATAAGAAGCAACCACACATTGATATTTCTCTCCCTCTTTCTCCTTCTCTTCCCCTTTCTAAAACTAAATAAATAAAATTAAAAAAATTCTAGTATTTGTGTTAGCTCAGTTTCTTATGTCTACAGTGGTTTAAAACAAGTCTGCTTCTGACAGTTTTTATTCTTAAAATTCACTGTGGAATTTTGTTCATTTTTCTGTAGTTATTTGATATGAGGTTGGGGAAATCTATTAACATTTTCATGATACACTGATATTGACTTTAGATAGTTATAATGTTAGATAGTTAAATGTTAAAGATCAAACTGTAGAAAAGAGGGAGGAGGGGAGAAACAGATGTTGCTTCCCTCTGTACAAAGAAATTCCCAAGCCTGAAAGCAGTGGAATCAAACTCAATTGATTGCATAAAATGTTAAAATATTTTCACATTTAAAGTGGTTGTAGGAAAAAATTGGAAGAGTAATTGAAAATGCAATATAATTAACATCTCTAAATACGAATAAAAGCACTAAGACATCTATAGATAAGTGGACATGAGCAGATTATTTACAAAAGAAATACAAGATTTGAAAAACTACCCAAACCAAGAACATAATAAAAATTGTAAGATTATCAGACATGCAGAGATTCATGAGCAAAAATATTTATCAGTGACAGGCAGATAGCTAAGTAAGTATTAGAACCTCCAGATCTTCAAATACTTGAAACTCCTAGAAATTATGCATATGAAAAACTTTAAAAATTTTTTAGTTTTATTACCTTTTAATCTCCTTATATTGCCCTCTGCCACCCTGCAGTCACCACAATGTTATCCATGTCTTTTTTTCCTTTTTGCTCAGTCCCTCCACCCCTACTCACCCCCACCCTTAGCTGTCAGCCTGCTCTCTATCAGTCTGTCCTCATTTTCCTTGTTAGTTCAGCTTGTTCACTAGATTCCACATGTGAGTGAAATCCTATGATATTTGTTTTTCTCTGGCTTATTTTCACTTAGCATAATGTTGTATAGGTCCATCCATACTGTCACAAAGGGTAAAATTTTATTTTTTATGGCTGAGTAGTATTGCATTATGTAACTGTCCCATAGTTAGTTGTTTTATCCACTCATCTACTGATGGACACGTGGGCTGCTTACAAATCTTGGTGATTGTAAACAAAACTACAGTGAACATAAGGATAATTATGTTCTCTCAAATTAATGTTTTTGGTTCCTTTGGATATATTTCCAGAAGTGGAATTGCTGGGTCAAAAGGCAGATCTGTTTTTAATTTTTTGAGGTATCTCCATACTGCTTTCCACAGTGGTTACACCATGCTACCCTGAACATGCTTGATCTCATCTAATCTTGGAAGCTAAGCAGAGTTGGGCCTGGTTAGTACTGGAATGGGAGACTGCCCAGGAATACTGTGTGCCGTTCACTTACTGCTTCTTGGCCTTTTGGCTAAGATCAAGTGTCATGAAAAATTCTTAAGAAAAAGAGGTTACATTATATATTGTTTGGTCAACCATGAAAATGCATTAAGTTAGAGAAATACACCAAAATGTTCATAGTAATTATCTCTAGTGGCATTATACCTAATTTTCATTCCATAGGATTTAAACATTTTTAAATGAGAACTAGTTTATTTAAAATCAGAAAATGGAAATGAGTCACAAAACAATATAATATAATCTCTTTCCAAAAATAACACATCCTCTTTCCCTAATAGAAATATAGTACATAGGATTTCTAATAACCCCTTAAAAGTATTTTATGTCTATACTGTAAATATGTTACCATTTTAATTCATTTGATGTAACATTATGTAATGACCACATAAAATTATACAAAATCTCTACAAATACAGGTTGAAAGGTAGACTAATGAGTTTTCCCTAAACATTCAACAAACTGGATGAATCTACGAAATCATTTCACTTCTTAACACTATATTTTCTTTCCCACCAAATCTAAATTTTTAGATTACCGGAGAATTTGTTTAAATAAATATATTAAACTTCAAATCACATTAAAGGTAATAACATCTGTTTAGGCGGTCCTAAAATCTGCATCTACCTTATATACCTACACTGACATTGTGAGTGCCAAGGGTCTCAAAATCAGATGCTGATTAAATATTAGGGATCACTTTAAGCCCCTTTCTCTGATAAGTTCCTTATTGCTGTTATAAGGGAGCAACGAAAGAAAGAGTAACACTAAGAGCAAATACACTGCTCCGCCTATCCTAATGGGTGTAATACCACCTGAAAACCAGTAATACTGCCCCAGTAAAGGAAAGTGAGGTGAGCAGTGTGAAGGGTCATTTGGGTCTTTTAAGACATTTGGTGTCAGAACTTGATAATCGTGAAAATCAAGACTGAATATAACAAACACACAACAGCAACAAATTTCCTAGCCTCTGTGCTAAGCACTTTAGTTATTTCAGTCAATTTAATAATCATTTTACCCTCCCCATTAAAAAAGAGATTATCCTAATGGGCCATCTCTAGGAAATGTGTCTTAATTTCTTTTACATCATATCCATCCTTTTATCCAGTTCTGATTACCTGGGCTAACGTGGGTCATAAGATTTGGTAGATTAATTCAACTAGCTTAGCCTCTGAGATGATTTTAAAATAATGATCATGCAACAAAACCTATGTCTTCGTCTAATGACAAAGATTTCCACTCTACTACGGCATCTCATGCCTCCCAAACACACAAAAGCCAGACATGTTTCAGCGATCCGCTTGCGTTTCGCTGAAACGGAATTTCAAGATCTAAGATGCACTGGCCCCAAATTCTGTGCCCTCCCGGCAGAGGTGGGTTCCGCCTCCTTTAACCGCCCACTGCGCGACGCGCGCCTGCCTCTCGCGGGACCTAGGCTTCCACGGCGAGATTTCGACCGTGCTTGGAAGGCAGTATCTCGCGATAGTTCTGCGGAGAAGTACGGCAATTAAAGGAGTTCCCGCGAAACTCTGGAGTCAAGCTGTTTGGTGTCTTACACTTTTAGCTGTCAGAGGGTGTAGACCACTTGTTTGGGATCTGGAGGCGGAAGGATGTTGACCCGGGTGAGGGTTGCGGCCCGGCTGGCGTCCCGGACTAAACCAGACGCTTCGATAAGGGTCTGGTGGGGATGGAGGAGGCTGGGACGAGGGAACTGGGGGGGGCTGGGACGAGGGACACCCCCATCTCGGTTTCTCCGGTTTCACAGCCCAAAGCGCTTGGTCGTGAGCGTGGTCTCGTTTTCGTCCAAGACACGTCTGCCCCAGGTAGCCCCTGTGCAGCACAGCACGCAGACTTCAGTATCTCTTCCCTTCAGCTGGGAGAAGGCCAGTTCCTCGCGGGCCCAGACCGTCTTTGTCACTGCCCTGTCCTGGGGGCCTTAGAACAATGCCGTGGCATAGTTGTCCCTGGAAAGGCTTTTCTTGGATGTGTAAATGAAACAGAATTTCAAAGAAGTTTACAAGGAAACCAGAATGACTTTTCTTCTAAATGAACTTTACTTTGGAATAATTTTCCATTTACTAAATGTTGCACAGATTTCCCCCATGCTTTCACCCAGTTCCCCCTAATATCAACTTCTAGAGTGAGTTACCTAAGTTGACTTTTTTGCATGGACTTACTTAAGTTGGCTTTCTGTGCTGACACCACTGGATACTGCTTTTAACTTTGTTTTACATTTGAGCAACAATCAATTGGAGAAACACTTAACTTTAAATAAGTAGAGTATGGTAATCAGTTTGCTTATGTGTGAAGTACTGCTTCCATTGCAAGAACTAGTAATTATCTAAAATGTTCTTAAGAAGAAAGGCTGCTAATGTTGAAGTTCAATAAAGTTGTAGTATCAGAGTGTGTGAGCAACTTTTTCTTATCATCATAGCTGAAAGCAGAATCAGAGAGGAAGCTTGCAAAACAGATTTGCAAAGTTGTGTTGGATCATTTTGAAAAACAATATTCCAAAGAACTTGGAGATGCCTGGAGTACAGTAAGGTTAGTATAATTCATCTCAATGCTTTGTAATAGAAGAAGAAACCTTTTTTGGGTGAGCGGTGCTGTGAGTACAAAAGAATCTAAACCTGGCTGCCTTTTTAAATTAAGTCTACAGAAGGGAAAAACTAGGAGAAAATGGATTAAGTTATAGGAACATAGAGAGGGGAGATGAAAACTTTGTAGTAATAGTAAACAAAAATTGTTATGCCCTTGCGTTGAGCAGTGCTTTGATCTTTGAAACAACAATGCACACAAGTTTGATAAAATTAACTATACTGGTAACAGAGAAATCTTTAAACTTTTGAGGACACTGGAGTAGTTTCTGAAATTCAGAAGATAATACAGCAAATCTTTAAAACCAGCACTGCTTTATCTTAAATTCACTTTTGGTGATTGTATTTCTTCCCTGTGGCTGGCTACGTTTTGAACAGATGTGTTCAAAACATACATTTAAATAATGTGTGCACATGCACACATTATTTAAATGTATTCTAGAAAACAAGCGTTTCATCCATACGAGTGAGTGAAGGAAGTTCGGTACGTTAAGTGCATTTTGCCTTTTGTCAGAATGTTACTCTACAGGCTCCTTCACAAGGAGTGATACCAGCATCCCGTGCCTGGCGGAATGCAAAAAACAAGACAGTCTGGGATTAGTTTGCTTTTAGTCCAGTGTTCTTGGGAGTGGGGGAGCATGGTTAGAACTATAAACCTCTTATTCCATAAGTATCCTACAAACTAGCAGGAGTACCTGGTCTTTCTAAGAAAGGCTGATGGTACCAGCAAAGGCCTAAGGAGAAGGCAGGTCTTGGTGACAGAGTTACCTTGGCAAAAGGATCCAGGCATTTTAGGTGGAGGGAAGAGTGCACTGCTTGTGAAGTTAGGGTGAAAAACCCAGTACAGTTTGCTCGGAAGAAAAATCACATGGCTAGTAGATAATATCTGAAACTTGGTCAGATGGTTGTCATACTCATCTCTTCCTGGCTCAACTCAATAAAAATGTCTTCTTTACAAAGGACAGTTTTAAGCACTTTTTAACAGATTGTTTTGACTAATAGAGTCTGAGGTGACGAGAAATTTTAGGACAAATTAAGCTGCTTTAGTATTTAAGCTATATAAATACTGTAATATGAAAATGTAGTTTATTGTCATTTTTTAGGTTTAAGAACTAGATTTTAAAATGATATTTTCTATAGCAGAGAAGAAACGAGAAAGACTGAATAGTGAAGTATACAGTAAATTCATGAGATTTTCGGTATGCAGAGGTGCTCAAAATAAGTAAAAATCTATTGCATGCTTATTATGTGCCACCCAATACTAACTCTGTGTGATCTTCACCACAAACCTATGAGGTTTGTTTCCTGTTTTTCGCCTGAGGCAACTGCACAAAGTTTAAGTAACTTTCTAAGTTCATTCATCTAGTAAGAGGCAGAGCTGGGATTTGTGCCCAGGCCCTCTGGTTCAAGAACGCCCACTGCTGACTTCTATTCTGTATGCCTCTTGTACCTGGGATGTCATTAGGCATACATGGATGATTTAAAAAAAAAAGATTTCAAGAGGTATGTTGTCTTTAGACTTCATAGTAATCTGGCTACCCATACCCTGTCATGAGTTATTTTTGTATTTAATGTGCTCAGACAGGTTTATAAATTATTATTTGACCCTAAACAAAAGGAGTAGTGAACCTCAAATCCATTTAATTAACTGTGCCTTCTGCTTCATCTACCTTTTTGTTGGGTTTTCATGGTAATTTAAGTTTTGCATAAACATGTGCTAAATTTGCCATAGGCAGAATAAAGGCTTTCTCAGCATAGAAAGTAGTCTGAGCATAGAAGATAGCATGGAGAAAAAAAGACCAGAAATATTTTTATTTTTTAACTGTTTGTTTGCAAAATATAATGTTTGCAGTCCAGTTTGCAGAGTCTACTTCCAGGGAAGGGCAAGTGTATTTTAGTGCTACCTAAAAAGTAATTTACTCAGTATTTTCAGTGGTAGAGAAGATTCAGTGTTTATTTTAATATTACTGTTTTGCAGTAACCTTTCTTGCAAAGCAGCCCTTTAAGCTGGAGTTTACCCTGGTTCAGTTTTTGCTCTGTTGTCTGCATGTTCTCATTCAGCGAGCCCATCATGGCATGACGTTAAACTTCCCTCAATATGCTGTCATTACAGGTTGCGCAGTCCTTCCCAAGCTTCAGTACCAGATTTCTAAGTGTTTTTGGTAATTTCACTTAGTTTTATACCAGGCAAACTCAAAAGCATGGTATTATTTTTTCTTTCCAGACCTGTGTTGTCAGTTGCTGCTTGCATACTTTATCTCAGTTGAAGGCATCACCACTTCTCTTTTCCACACCTTCACTACCTTTGTAATAAAATGACCCTTACTCAAAAACAGGTTGGGCACCTGCCCTTAGCTCCTTGGAGGTGATCTCTATGCCCTTGGTGTGTGTTGCCTAAGAGTATCTTTGTTCACCTGGGGGCTTGGGCCACACAGGAAAGTCTAACAATATGATTTATGGTGAGGGCTATGAGCGTGATAATCAGCTTGGCCTGTGGCCCTTGATCTCCATCCTCCAGAGAGGCCAAAGACTACGATTAGCCACAGGGCTGTCAACCATCTTTGTATGGCTGAACTTCAATAAAATGTAGACACCAGGGCTCTGGCGAGTCTCCATGCTTGGCAGTACCCCTATGCATGCTGTCACACATTGTTGCTAGGAAAAGTTGTCCTCCAGGTTTCCACCGGAGGGAACAACAGGAAGATTCATGCTTTGAATGGTTTTATACTCTGCATCATGCATCTCATGACTGATTGTAATCAGTATCTTTGTTGTAATAAACCATAATCATAACCATGGATATAACGTTAGTTCTTTGTGTTGTCCAACTAGTAGGTAAACCTGAAAGTGGTCTTGGAGACCCTGGTCTCCAAGGTGTCAGAAGTTAGGGTGGTCTAGACCCAGATGGTATGGCTGAATTGGTTGGCTGTTGTTCAGCAAACTGAAAGGTCGCTGATTTCGATTCCCGGTGGGACATGGGTTTGGATTGCGGGTTTGGTCACAGGGCAGGCATCTACAGAAGGCAACAGATTGATGTTTTTCATGTTGATGTTTCTCTCCCTCTATCCCTCCCTTCTCCTTTCTCTAAAATCATAAATAAAAATTAAAAAAGAAAACTTAGTGTGGTCTTTGGGATTTCCCTATGTACTACCACACACCACTTACTACCTTACCTTACAAAACTAAATTAAAACTACCTTAAAATCTAAAATTACAAAACTAAAACTACCTTACAAAATCTAAAATCTAAAATCTAAATGCCCACCAAATACTTTTATCTGCCTGAGAGATTTAATTTGAATCTCCTTTTATCTCTACTATTACTACTTAGGCCTTCATCATTTCTTGCCTAGCATATTGCAACAGCCCTTCTCCACAGCCACACACCTTTAGTATTTGTTTGCTTATTTTAGCAGTCACTTTTATGGCAGTGTATGCCCAACAGTGTCCTAATCACTTCATAAATAGTAACATAAACCTTCATACAGTCCTCTGGGGCAGTTGCACATTTGGAAGAGCCTTGGGAGTGTGTCTTACACATTCTGTCAAGCCGTTTCTTCATGTGCCTGTGTTCTATGTGACCCTCCTGCAGTACAAGCCTCCTCTACTCCCCTGCATATGATGTTCCCTCTGCCAGGAGTGACCTCCCTTCTGCGTCTCTCTAGCGATTAAAGTATGGGTTCAAATTCACCTCTGTATCTTACAGCATACGACTTAGCTAAATTACTTAACATCTCTGTGCTTCAGTATCCTGATCTATAAAGTGGGAAAAAGAGTACTTCATAAAATTATTTGGGAAGGTAAAATGAATTTATATCACACACAGGGCTTAGAATATTGTTTAACATGTAACAAGACCTTGATACATGTTAGCATTATTTTTATTACTGTTATTAACCAGTTCGCCATAAAGCTGTACCATATTTCCTTGGCAAAATTAGTTGTGTCCTTTGTGCTTCCCTTGCCTTTTGTTGATATAACTGTTGTAATTCTCTCAAGATTTTAGTATAATTTAGTTAACTTGCTTGTCTCTTCGTTGCCAAGGGAGGCTCGTGAAGAACCAGTGCCTTAAGATTTGGGTGAGTCATCTGCTAATTCACAATTTAGACAGTTTTACATACCAGGCATTGTGCTAAGCACTGGTGATAAAAAGATGGATTATATATAGTCTACCCTCAAACATATATGAGGGAAGGATTAATTGGAAGTCTTTATGAACTTTGGAAATTTTGTGGATACTTTGTGGCAAGCTTGGGGGGGAAAAAACCCCAAACCCTGGCCTATCTGTAAATATATATTTTTATTTGGACATTGTCTTCACTAACCCAGGATTCACATAGGTCACAGTGAGAGAAAATATATAACCAGATATCATTACCAGGATCTGAAGAGGGGTGGAATGAGGTAGTTGGGGAAAACAAATTAGTAGCTTGGTTTCTATTTTGTTCCTTATGTTGGCTTTATGTACATTCTCAACATCAAATTCTGTGCGCATCACTGCAAGGTAGTAACTTTTAGCCCCTTTTAAAGGCAGAAGTTAGAAAAATTGCCAGATGTCTTAGTTTATGGCCAGTGGAGACGTGTGACTTGGAAGTCCATGCCTTTTCTTCTACCAAGTGGGCTGCTGGAAGGATCTGTAGTCCCAGCCTTGGTAGCGTATGTGCGCATGTCTCCTTATATAAGGGACTCCTTGTGTACAGTGTTTTCAGTCTTGTCACTACCAGGAACACAAACCTTCACTCAGGGCTTCTTATTTTGAGGTATCGTGGATAACAAGTACAGACACAGATTGTTCTTCCTTGAGACAAGGAGGAAAGAGTGTCAAGAAGGAGTAGGAGGCAGTTCTCATTATTAGAATCTTTGAAGAACAAAAATAAAATGGCTGGAAAATGTACTTCGGTGTACTTGCATGAATACATTTATTCATTTCTAAACCAGACTTTAAAAAAGATCGAATGAGCGCCCTCTTGTGGATAATAATGGCAATAAAGCAAAAGGGATTTCTTTTAACATTGAAAATATAATTGGTTTTGTAATCTACAGGGTTATACTACTTGTGCTTAGCAATATTTAGATAAAAGGATTTTTTGTCCTCATCATTATATAGGACTGTATACTGGATAATAGAATAGTAGAAGAATAGTGACAGAAAAATTGAGTGAGACCATATTAAATAACAAACATTGTCCAAATAACAGTACGTAGTTTTTTTCAAACATCATATACACACATGCAGGTTCAAGTAGTCAACATTCATATCTTAAATTTCCACATACGCTGTAAATTTTTCTTTCGGAAAATTACTCTGCTTCCCTGTGTGCCCGAGGCAGTGGTACTCTTCTTCCCCAACTTGCCTTTGTGCAGTCATCTGTCTCCCACGGCCCCTGTCCTGGCCCTGCCACACTGCCTTCCTCCAGCCATCAAACGCTCCACCTGCCAGAGGTTCTTGGGATGTCCTTGTAAGGGTTGCGGGACTGAATGACTCGTGACGGAAATTCTTTGACAGGTCAGATAGGTTCCAAAGTTTGCCTTCAGCAGAAGTAAAGGAGTTTCACTTGAGTTATCAACTAACAGATCGTTTAAAATATTTTTGATGAATAGGTTGTTGAGTTATTTGGAAATATAACTGAGGATTTGAACAAAAGGGAGACCTTGCTATAACAAAATGTATGTATTTCTCACTTATTTAAGTGAGGGTTTTTCTCAGCCTTTATAGAAATACAAAATAGGAATAAAGTTGATGTTGAACTTTGACTCATTATAGTACCAGCTATATTTATCCTCGCATCATATTTTTTTAAAAACCCACTGATTTCATTAAGAGATTTCTATCTTTCATGTATAATAATTAAATCTGTAATGTGATTTTGATCAACTTGTGCTAATAACTTTATTTATAACAGAATCCAGAACTTACCATTTTAACATTTAGAGATGTAAGGTCACAGTAAAAGCAGATTTAGTGTGTGTGTGGCAGAGAAGCATGAGAGGATCGGGAAACAGATTTCAAGCACAGTGGTGTATTAGGATGAAGTTATATGGAGAAATAGAATGTAAATAAAAGGGAAAAAGGAATGCTGTAAAATTAACACCTGTTTGAGACTAGGCCATGAATTTAATTAGTTAATTTATTTATTTTTAGAGAGAGGGAGAGAAACATCGATCAGTTTGCCTTTCACATGCTCCTAGCCAGGGACCCAGCCTGTAACCCAGGCATGTGCCCCAACTGGGAATCAAACCAATGACCTTTTGGTCTGCAGGGTGACACACAAGCCACTGAGCTATATCAGTCAGGGCTGGCCAATGAATTTTTAAATGAACCATGATGGGTTTCAAAATCACTCTGGTTTTTAGTTTCCAGTAGATACATTTTTAAAAGTGGTATAAGTTATATTTTAAATGTCAATTTTCACAGTATGCTGGAAATCACATTCTTAAACATATGGTGTAGGTTTTGATAGCAACTGAAAATGTGCTAGAGGGTACATAGTTTTTTCACACTGATATTAGTGAATATACTAACATTTGCCAGTCATCAATGATTTGAGTCCTATTTCCGCTGGTTACTGGTACTTGAACTTCTGGCTTTGGAGATCATTAAGTGGAGCAGCTTTAGACTTCTTCTCATGAATCTCAGGAGGAGGCCTAGAATACGATACCTGGCCAGTCTTCTTGAGTTTTCTAATGTACACTCACTCTGCTATCTCCTGGACCACTAGCCCATCCATCAGAAATTTAGACTGGAGTAGCCACTGGCCTGTCAGTTTCAGGTTGTTATCCCACCTGTGTGTGTGTGTGTGTGTGTGTGTGTGTGTGTGTGTGTGTGTGTTTTGGAGGAAGGGGAGCTGAGATCCACGTTCACATACCAGTTTGCTTTCTCAGGGCTAGAAAGTACCAACCTGAGCAGCCAGAGCACTATTTTCACTGAGTTGGTCCTGTTGTAGTATGTGTTAGAGACATTGTTAGATACAGTAGCAGGAAGGCCATGGCCACAGGCACCAGGTGAGGTTTGGAGTAGAAATTCTCTGCTCTTTCTGTTGTATACATTAGTGCTGCAGTACCACGGTCTCACACTTCTGTTAGGTTTTAAGGCCAGCAGATTTTGAATCAGGTATTTCTGCTTAATAGCAATGTGACTGACCTTGGGTAAGTTGCCAAGTTTCTGAAAGCCTCAGTTACCTAACCTCTAAAATGGGGTAATAGCTGCCCTCATAGCTGTTGTGATGGTTAAATGAGGTAAGCATGCACATTGTAAACATATGATCATTACTTTTTTTATTATTGTGGTGTTTGTTATTATTATTATCATTATTATCAGGGTGACATGGACCAGGTGGATTAGTTGATAGGTAGAAAGGCTTGCCCTCTGAGTGGAGAGTGGAAGAGTGAGCTGGGCTACAGGTAGGTGAGAGAGGGACAGTCACTCTAGGCAGAGGGAGCAGTTTATGTTGAACTTGGTAAAGGCTAAAGAAAACTTGCTCCAGGAAATTTAAGAAGTTCAATAGGGCTGGGTGTAAGTTAGGAGGGATCAGAAAATGTATTATGCGTAGGGTGATTTGTTTTTTGTTTTTATGTTGTTAAAGAATGAGGTAGAATAATTGCAGAAGATTCTTGACTTGTTTAAAAACAAGTACTTGTTTTTAAATCTAATGAGGCTCTTCTGCTAGAGTAGGGGTGTCAAACTGCTTTTCACTGGGGGCCACATCAGCCTTGTTGCCTTCAAAGGGCCGAATGTAATTTTAGGACTGTATAAATGTGACTGCTCCTTAACAGTTAAGCGATAGCTCAGCGCTGCTGCTGGGCAGAAACAAGGTGCCGGGCTGGATAAAACAAGGTGGAGGGCCGGATTCGGCCTATAGGCCTTGTGTTAGCCCCCTGTGGCCTAGAGTCTTTCAATGACTTTCCATCGCTTATAAGATAAAATTTTAAACTTTCATCATATTACACTTAACCCTTATAATCACCTGCCACAAGCCACACCAGACTGCTTTTAATTCTCCAGATCCACTGCCCTTCATAGCTCTGTGCTCGTCCGTGTGCTGTTGCCCACACCCTGGAGCTTCCTTTCTCCTTGTGTGCTATGGCTGATTCCTCCTCATCTTTAAAGAGACTGGGTAATATACAAGAACCAGTGAGTTCCTTAGCTAATAATCCTTTTACACAATAAGGCTAAAAGGAAATACGTGAGATTAATAATATATACTAAGGGATCTGGAAGAAAATAGGAGTAAATGGAGAACATATCAGGGTTAGGGTTGGAAATAATACAGTAAAGATGTTAATTCTCCCCAAATTTAGTACATTCAATATAATCCTAATCAAAGTCACAAGTATTTTATAATTATTTTAAATTGAATACCTGATTCTAAAGTTTATCTGAAAGAGTAAGGATAAAATAGCTTTGGAAATTCTAAAGAAAAAAAAAAGAACAGAATGGAGATTTATCCTGTCAGATATTAATCAGCTGGAAGTGTCCTACCTTTTGTTAGCTAAGGGGTGGATGTATAATATAAGCCAAACCACTCCAGTCTATATTATTATGTTTCTGACCATTATTTCCCTGTTACTACATGACTCAAAACCTTGGATAGATTTTTTTCACTCAGTTTTGAAGAGTAAGAAGGACTGACATAAGATTTACATTAGTGACTTTAGTGACATTCACAGATTTCCCTTCTGGGTGTATTTTGATGCAGCGATTCTCAAAGTGTGGTCTTGGGGTTCAGCGGTATCAGTATCACGTGAGAACTTACTACAAAAACAAATTTTCAGTTCCCACCTAAGACCTACTAGATCAGAAACTGGGGGGTTAAGGCCCAGCAGTCCTTCACAGCCACTTGATGTATGCTAAAGTTTGTGAAGTTCATTATTAAAGAAACAGGTTGTCATCCTCTAGAATGCCTGAAACAGATACATTGGGCTCACAGGGCGCACTGTCATAATAGGCAGTGAAAGGAGAAGGCAGTTGCACGTGTAAGCCCCTGATGGAAATTCACATGGCACGCTTGAAGTCACAGGTGTTACATTTCAACCCGGCCATTTCTCACATAGACAACTCCGGGGTGAGTAGCAGCTGGAATTTATTTAATTGATGATGGTTAATGAGGCTCCCAAATAACTCAGCTAGAAAGGTCAGCTCATAAATAAATATTTCCTGCTGTATCTGTCAGTTGATGTGAGCCTGTGATTGTCAAGAGATCAAACTGTTGGACCGAATTAAAAATTAGGAAGTTACATTTACTAGGGGAGGGGGAGAGAGTGTGCATCATCCATAAGTGATTTTTAAGCCCTCCTTGGTTTTGTGTCCATCTGAGTCACTGATTGCCTCATTAACTCTGTTACTGTAGAGTTCACCATAGTTGGCTTTCCATCCTTTTCTTCTTCATAAGGAAAGTTTTAACACTCACTAATTTAAACACCCTTAAATGATAGTACTTTTTCTTAATAGTCTCAGGCTTTAAATTTTATCTCTGAGAAAAACACTTATGCAAAGAGTGAATGACTAAAATCTATTCTGATGGATTACAGGTAAGTAAAGGCAGGCCATGATATTTCTGGCACGGAATTCTGCAGGAAGGAACTAGGCGGAGGCAAGTGAGTCGTTCCTCAACGGTGCAGAATTTCAGGGGCACCTAAAACTTGATAACAAGGTAAACAGTATCTTAATGGCCAAAATTAATTTAAAAGAAAAACCCACAGTGAACAAAATACAAAGATTTAAATAAAGACAGGATGAAAAGTGCTGGGTTTGGTCATAGTGGGCCTGAGGCAAGAGGAAAGTCTGATACCAATCCTGACTATTAAAATCTCAGATAAGTAAAATGTAAAACCAAGACCACGTTTAATTGATTAGCAATATAAAGTTGTTTTAGTGTTTATAGTAATAGTACTTTGTTTTTGTATTTCTAGGGATATACTAACATCTCCATCATGCTGGCAACATGCTGTCCTTCTCAACCGATTCAATTACCCTTTTGAACTGGAAAAGGATTTACTTTCCAAGGGCTATCACATACTCTTCCAAAGATCTTTACCCTATTATCCTAAATCAGTAAAGTGTTACCTTAGCAGAATTCCTGACCAGATGCCTTCAGAAAGACACCAAACTGGAAGCCTAAAAAGATACTACCTCCTCAACGCTGCCTCTCTCCTCCCAGTACTGGCTCTCGAATTAAGGGATGGAGAGAAGATTCTGGATCTGTGTGCTGCTCCTGGAGGGAAGTCGGTAGCTCTGCTGCAGTGTGCTTACCCAGGTAGTGTGCTTACCCAGGTAGTGTGCTTACCCAGGTGGTGTGCTTACCCAGGTAGTGTGCTTTTCTTTCAGCGGTCAGCCACTTCCCAATGTCCATCTGCGTAAAGTACTCTTCAAGTATTCACTCTGTGGGGAGAAATGTAAGATTGAATTTGTATACTTGGAAAGCATGAAAACCAGGACAGTAGGAAGAGAATGGAAGTTTTAGCTGAGAAAATCAGTGTGAATAACATTTTTTTTCTCAGCTTCTTAATCCTAGCAGGTAACTGGGAACAAAACTACATCTGGGGAATGAAAATCTAGCAGATAATATGAATCCTTATAAACCAATGAGAAAAACTTTTAATTTTGTTACTTTTATAAGTCTTATATTGATTTCCTTGTGCTATTATGAAGCAGAAACATATATTTAAAATCATTTTTTGTATCATTGGTCCATAAGGTTCTAAGGCAGTTTTTTTTATCCAATAAAAATATAACGGGAAATTTATATATAATTTAAAACTTTTTAAAAAAAGATTTTATTTATTTTTGAGAGAGGGGTAGGGAGGGAGATAAAGAGGGATAGAAACATCATTGTGTTTCTTGCACACCCCTGACTGGGGACCTGACCCACAACCCAAGCATGTGCCCTGACTGGGAATCAAACCAGCAACCCTTTGATTCACAGGCTGGCACTCAACCACTGTGCCACACCAGCCAGGGCTAATTTAAAACTTTTCAGTAGTGTCTGTGGGGGCAAAAAACCAAAATAACCCCTCCCCACAAGCTAATAATCAAATTAAGAGATAGAGATTAACAGGAAAAAAGATGTCCAAAGTTTATTACAGATGGATATGCCAGTGGTTGTCATAAGATATGAGAGCCCAAAATGCATTGGGCTGTTGAAGTATGTATGAGAGAGGACCCAACAAAACCAGAATTTATTTATAAAAGTTTATCTATTTATTCTTACATGTTTAAATTTAAGTCATCCTCAAAGAACTGTCCATTTGATGCAATATACCTATTGAGATGTTTATCCCACTGCTCAAAAGAGTTTTTAACTTGTCAATTTCAATGCCTTTTAGTGCTTCTGCTGTTTTTTGTTTTGTGTCTTCCACTCCATGTTGGCAAAATGTTTCCTTTTGAGGACTTTTTTCATCCAGGGAAACAGCAAAAGTCACTCCAGGGAGTTCAGATGACTAGGGAGGGTGGGGCACTGGGGCCATGCCATTTTTGGTCAAAAACTATTGAATACGCAGCATGGTGTGGGCAGGTGCACTTGTAAATGACTCCTCATGAAATGGGTAAAAGTGTTGACAGAGTCTTCAAAAAAATTCACTGAAGCCAGACACAGCCTCTCACGACCATGCCAGCTGGTACACTGTTACAGATGGGATCATAGAACTTTCACCTAAAGGGGAAGCCTGTACTCCAGGGGCCTACCCTCCAAAAAATAATTCCATTTTTTGAGGGGTCCCTTCTTGTATGTCATTGTGAACAAAGGGGCAAGGGGGGGTCTGAGATTTCAAAAGAAGTCGGCAATTTACAGATAGTTGAGGAATAGCAGAACACATTCCGCAGGCAAAGTGGGATACAAGGAGTAATTTAGAGGAAAAGTTCTAAGGAATAAGGTTCTAAGGCAGTTTTTTAATCCAATAGAAATATAATGGGAAATTTATATATAATTTAAAACTTTTTAAAAAAGATTTTATTTATTTTTGAGAGAGGGGTAGGGAGGGAGACAAAGAGGGATAGAAACATCATTATGTTTCTTGCACACCCCCTACTGGGGACCTGGCTCACAACCCAGGCATGTGCCCTGATTGGGAATCAAACCAGCAACCCTTTGATTCACAGGCTGGCACTCAACCACTGTGCCACACCAGCCAGGGCTAATTTAAAACTTTTGAGTAGTGTAACAGGCCCCAGTAGTAGTAACAGGCGCCTGCTTGGAGCCCTCCTGTCCACCATACTTCATTCAAATTAGGCTAAGATGAATATGCAAAAGTTTCTTATTTGAACCAGGCCTTTCCATCTGAATCTCAAGGGCAAGAAAAGGGGAAAGTCACATATTTTTTTCTGAATCTTAAAAGTCAATATCCCAAAAGTTAGTGTTAGTGTGGCAAAACTTTGGTCCCCTTCATCTCCTTAGAAAGGTAGAAAGAAACAGATGAAATTAATTTTAATAATACATTATAATCTAGTATACCCCAAATTTCTTTTCAACATCAGAATAAAAATTTTAATGAGATATTTTGCATTCTCATTTTCATACAAAGCCTCCAAAATTAGTGTGTGTTTTACACTTACAAACATTTCATTTTGGACCAGCCGCATTGTAAGTGCTCATAGACATATGCAGTGAGTGGATGTAGTATTGGGCAATGCAATTCTAACAGAGTTAAAAGTTATTTTTTTTTTAGAATTGATGTGAATTTTATTTATATTTATTTTTGTTAAAATATTTTCAATAGCTTACTTTTACTGTACTTTTTCCATTACCATTTATTCACCTATACCCTCCAACACCTCCACCTGTGCCTCTCCTCTTTATAGTCACCACAGTATTGTCCAAGTCCATGATTTCTCTTTCTCTTTTTCTCTTTCACTAGATTTCTTTATCCCTGTCATCATCCTTCCCCCAGAGCTGTCAGCTTGCTCTCTATGAGTCTGTCTCTGTTTTGCTTGTTAGTTCTTTTAATTGTCATTACCATTATTATTAGTACGAAAATGATGAAATGTAATGTACATTTGCATAAATATTTGTTAAAAGTAATTAGTCAACATTCATCATAATTATTTTCCTAAGGAGGCCATGGGACTTTAAAAAAATTACTTTAAGTTTTCCTGGGTGAATTACTTACAGTTAAATGAGACAGGGTTTGCATCAATTTTGTCTGGTTTTTGTTTGATGGTTTTGTTTTTATAGATGCAAATGCTTTTGCTCACATAGATACAAAATGGAAATAGTGGAAGTTGTGTGATATAGTAGTTTCACTAGTTTTTTAAACTCCCCGAGTTATAATCTTAAATCACACAGTTATCTTTCATCAAGCCTTATTTTAATTATCAACTAGCTGAGCATTCCGTAGGTTCATGTTTTTGTTTGTTTGTTTTGTTGAAGGCAGAGGATTGGAGCCATCTTAATTACAGAAGTCTGTGTTTATTGCTTAGTTGTTAAAATCATTCACTTTCTCAGCCAAGGCACTAATGTGTTGAACTTTGGTGACGTGGAGGTTTCTACATCCTGGCACAATTTTCAGTAATAAGATACTAGATGGGTGGGAAGTTTGCTCCTCATGTGCGAAGTTGGTGAAGGGACCATTGTGAATGGAAGTGTCCTGACTCAAGGCTGGCTTCTCCTCCTCTAGGAAGTTGATCTGAAAGTTGATTGTTTTAAAAACTGTCCAAGTCCACACGTCCAGTAGAAAGTTGTTTGAGTCCCCAGGCCATGCATATCCCATTTTGAAGACTGCTGACTTACATCTCCATTTGAGAGCATTCCTGTTGGAAACGATTATAAAAATTTTTACGAGAACTGTGAATCCAATTGTGCTAGGCATTGGTACAAATACATCAGTTAACTGTGTATTTAGGAGAAAACATCCTGTGTGTTTCAGAATTGTGGTTAAAACTCTGATAGTGAAGGTTGCTATATTTTATATAAGACATAACTGTGGGGATGACTTTTTCCACAAGTCCCCCCCGTCTGCCACAGATGAAAGGAAACAAGACAAGACATGGTCTGTTTGGGGAGGGGAGGTGGCCAGTTTCTCAGGGGAAAAAGGCCTTGAGCCCCTTCCTCCAAGGGCTTTCATTGGGTTGTAATACACAGGAACACAGGGTGGCAAGTATCAAACAGTAGATAACATTTCAAAGAAATCTGAGGGCTTAGTCTGAGTCAATATCAGGAAAGGGGGTTTTGCAGAAACTTTGGGAGACATACTCATTTCCTGCTCTGACCCTTATCAGATGAATGAAAACACTCTTAGCAGAGCAGATTTCACAGGTTTATCAGGAATTCTTTGTGATGCCAGATTTATCCCCAGACACCCTTTACCAAGGTAAGGAGCTACACATTTCCTTATCAGGTATTCAGGCTTAAGTGGATTAGAGCCAGGAAGCACTTCTCCCAGAGGAAGTGGGGAACTTGGGCTATGGTTACATAGCCTGAGGGCATGGGTCTATTATTTGCTGTTTGTTGCAGCCCCTCCAGTCCTTCCATGATGGCCTCTCCAGTAGTCGAGACTGGCTTAGGTTGCCCCCTTTCCCCCCCTGCTGTGAGGAGACTTACCTGTCATGGACTTCCCACCATGCTTTGGGGGAAGAGAAGAAAATGAGGCAGCGTTTGCTACCAGAGACAGACCTTGTCTCCTGTGGCTTGCATTCCAGAGGTCACTTGCTAATCCTTAGGCTCTGGGGTGGGAGGGGGGTGGGGGGGGTTGGGAGGGTTATGGTTACAGTTCCTGAAACCAGGCAGAGCAGTCCACAACAAACAACAAAATGTTATTTTTAAAGTTATCTTACTATTTTTTTAATTTGAGCAAAGCTTTACGGAATCATGTGTCATAGGAGTACTGGTCTTTCACTCTGCTCCTTACAGTGAGGGTTCTTCTTTTCTCTCTTACATTCGTTTTGAAAGTAGAATTTTTAGTATTGCAAAAGATGGAAGAGAAATGTCAATTTAGGACACCACTTTGAAGTGAGGGCATTTTAATCTTAAATTATCCCTGTTAATATTTTACATGCTTATATAGGGAAGGTGATTTGAAGGCGATTAGGAACCCAAAGGCAAACTGATATATTCTAGGACTTTGAATTGGAGAAGAATCTTCCTGTCCTTACATCAAGGACAATGAACTACAGGCAGTGTTCCAAGTAAAGAAGCTTTTCATCTAAGTAGGACTAATGATAATGGTTTACTAAGAAGCCCAGATGTCTTCATGCTGATGCTCAAATCCCATATTAGGTTAGCTACAGTGCTTGAATTTGGAATGCAGAAGCAGTGCTAATCAA